CTAATTACAATGACTTATTTCTAAATGATAACCTATAATTTGCATTTTTGTAAACCTTTTAGATTTTTTCCCCCAATTTATTTTAAGATAAAGTTTAAATAAAGACTAAAAACAATCTAGAAATAAGTAAAAGTTTCTTAAATTAAGTGTATTTACCCTTAATTTGAGTAGGTAATTGAGTTTGCCAATGGAATGAGTATTTTTACTCTTAAAATAAGATAATTAGATAACATACACTTGAAATAAGAGAATACAATTGTGTTTTCTTATTTTAAGTGTAAATTGTCTTGTTCCATTGGCAAGATGTCACCTTTACTTCCTTAATCCAAGAACAAATGCACTTATTTTAAGAGAAAAAACGACCTATCTAGATTTGTATTTTTCCAGTGAGAAAAGGGAAAATTCACAACTTTTCATCCAGATCATTTTATTTTTTGTTTTGCTTTTTTACAGTTTTTGAAATTCTATAAAATGGGTGTTTTGACTGTTTCTATGATATGAAATCTAGGAAAATGACTCTGGAAAGGAATAGATTTTTATATTGAAGGAGCACTGTTGATTGTCTCCATCGTGTTTTATTTTAAAGCCCAAAAACAAATGTAGCATAAATCCCAGCTGCAGAAAAGAATCGCCTTTTTCTTTTGTTTGAAAAGTTTGTCACAACATGCTGGTCATGACCTGTGACATGACCTACAAAGTCCTCTCCCTATCATCTCTCAATCAAACTACATGAAACCCGAGCTACGTAAAATCTGCTCCATCTTGAGATACGTTTGATGGGCTTTGCAAACAGAGAAGGTGTAGATGGAGGGGGTACTTCGACTCCCACCATAACCAGTCTGGTGTTTGTCGCCTTCAATTTCTTCAGCGTCCATTTTGGGACAGACCTCACTCTGTTCCTGTTGGTCTATGTTGGCATTTTTGTGCGTCCTTCTGAGGAGATGAAGAAAGCTTTCCCTTCTGCCTCCATAAACAAACAGACGTGTGAATAAATAAGTCGAGGGACTTGAGCGCTGAGCTGGGCCAGCCTCTGTTTGCTTTTCCTGTAACGGGGAAGTGGAGCACCTTGTTTTGAATGTCGTACTTTTCATCACACAAAACAGACAAAATGCAAACATTTTAATACTTTTTTTCCCCGTTTGTCTCTTTGCATTTTTGTTCCAAAAAATCAAACTAAGCCCAATTTTCACTCATTAAAAACTATCAAGGGGAAAAACCTGGTGTGTGAATATGGCCCAGGATTTTTTTTTCTTCGTTGATGACTAAATAACTTTGGACTGATGAAGCTGGGTGGAGGCTGTCAGCAGCAACATGCATGTTTGTTTTCACAGATTAGCTCTCCTTTGGCTCGACGGTCCCTCATGGAAATGTCAATATCGATTGGCTGAAAGCTGCACGAGCCCTCCCCTGGACTCTGTCTCCAACCTGTCCCTGCTGAGACACTAATGGAACAGCACAGCTCTCCCAGCTGGAGTTCATGACCTCAGATCATCACGGCCTACCTGTCAGACCTTTTTACAGTCTTCCTGAAAGCAGATGTTCTGACATCACCAACCCCTAAATTTGGCCTCTTCTCGTGATATATTTTTGTTCCTTTCCCTGGAGGAAGAAGCATAGCTGCCATGTTTGTGAAGTAAGACAGGTCAAGTCCAAGTTCCTGCCTGGCATTTGTGCTTGTGAGGGAATATACAGTTATTCCCCTTGAGCAAGGCGCACATCCTGTTCGCTCTAAGAGTACACATGGGTGCGCTGAGCAGTGGAGCAGGAAAGTGTCCGGAAATATTTCAGATTCTCAAACCTTTTTTATTCTAGCATTTCCATTCTGGATCAGACACATATTTTCTTTTCTCATCATAAAACAGCTGATGTTTGCTTCAAGTAAATGTAAGACTAAAGCAAGCTGCTTAAATCTGCTGTAAAAAGTTAAATAAGCGACATCTAACATCTAAATGTTGTCTAAATTAGACAACATTTCTAACTTTAAGCTGTTTTCTTCATCGTTCCCTCTCCTGCTAAACATTTTTGGCACATTGAAATACATGAAAATGGGCCTAAAGCTGAGAGAATGAAGAGAATTTTGCAGAACTACAGTAAAAGTCTTTCCTGTTGTTGATGAGTTTGAGTTTCTTTTAATGCTTTTCCTCTCTGAATAGTACGTCTATATTGGGATTAAAAGTGGGGGATTAAATATTTTGTATTGTGTCAGGACAGACTAAGTTTCTTGTTGTTTAATATTAGTGGCCAGTTTTGTTTAATATAATTTTTCACATTTAAAAATTACAGTTTGGTCAACTGAATGATCTTATGGCCAGTTAATAACTTGCTGAATAAATCTAAAACTTGCTTGGTGTCAGTTCTACACTTCAGCATGTAGGAGTATGTTGATCTTCCAGGTTTTATTTCGGTCCCTATCAGTACGTCAGAGTATTAGTGTCACAGAAAAAAAGTAAAACATAAACTTAATAAAGTTTATATTTTTAAAAATCAATTAAAAAAAATAACAAAGTAATTATATTAGGCCAATGAGATTAAAGCCTTATAATTATGAAATAGCATTACAAGAAATAATCGAATATATTACAAGAATAAAGTCAAAATAATTATGAGAGTAAAGTTATAAGGATATTTACGGAGCCCCTAAAGGGACATGGAGGGGAAAAAAAAGAACTTTTGCGAGATCCCGCAATACTTTTGCGAGATCCCGCAATAGTTTTGCGAGATTCCGCAATACTTTTGCGAGATCCCGCAATACTTTTGT